TTAAAAAAAAAATGATTGTGAGATAGGCAAAATGCTATAAACTTTCAAGAATAGTCAATACAAATTCTATCTCGTTTGTATTAACTTCAATTTCATTTAATTTCTTCATATATTTTTCTATAATAGAATACATAGACAATTTTATAGAGACATATCATTAATTTTGTTAGAAATGGAATCTATTTTGTTTCCGTCAACCTCAATTAGGCTCATAGGGTCATAGAGACTAATTATACCACTAGACCTATTGTGATAATGTTAATATGTATGTATATATATATATATATATTACATTATTAAGATACAATTTTTATTTTTTATTGGGGGGTATAATAAAAATTTTTATAAATAAACACTGTTATTTGCAAGGCTAGGAGCATGTATCCTACTTGACCCACCCTTGTGTCGGTGCGGCATTGATTGCAATGTATTTTATTTTATGAGAAAATAAGTAATTTTTTTTGCTCAGCATGATTTTTTTTTCATGGTTGTAACAAATAAGTTCAATTTTAATAATTTAATACAGGGGAGTCTATTTTTGGTAAGATACATGATAAATTTTATTATATTTTGTTATTATAGAGGATTGGAGGGATTTGTATTTTTTACACTCTTTAGAAAATATAAATAGATTATAAGTTTTTAATTATCATTTAGTTTAGTTTTAACTTCAGTAACATAAAAGAACTCATAAAGTTTTGTAATTAATGATTTCATATCCATTTATATCATCCATATTATGGAGTAATGCCAAGATGAAAAAAAAAATGAGTGATGATTTATGTAAAATACTAGTAATTGATGAGAAATAAAGTAAAATATATGTTGTAAATAAAAAAAGTTTTACTCCTAATTTGATCTTATTGATAAGTCATTAATAATTTTTTGTTTTATAGATATTTTTTATATTTTAATAACACCTGTACAGTTCTTTAACAAATATTAGTAGCTAAAAAGCATGTAAATAAATAGTTTTTTCTATAACCTGATCGATTTTCTTATTTTTAAGATAGTTAATAGTATTATAGAAAAAAAAATCTTTTTTTTTACTGAAACAAATAATCTTAAACTTTTAAATGTATTTTTCTGGTACACTCAATATAATTATTTGTTCAGCTAAAACTTATTTTATAGTTCAAATATGATATATATTTTTTTTAACTATGAAAACTTAATCATTAACTTCTGGGTATGGAAAGCAGGTCCAGTATGTGTTATAAAAAAAAATTTTTTTTACTATTAATGATAAATCCCAAAAATATATTTTAAGCATAGTCTAAGAGGTCAATAACTTATTATAAAATAGAACAAGGTTTTTATTTATAAAATAATAATTATATCAAAAGTTTTAAACATTGTTAATTTGGTTCAAGTTGTCTATATGTATTTTGTACACAAGAGGTAAACTATTCTAGTTTTTCAAACAAACAAAAAAAAAGTTATAGCAATTTAAAGTAAAAAAATTGAAAAAATGTCGAAAATTAGCGATTTTTAAATTTGTAATTTTTGGGGGATTTCCCCCGTTTACGGAAAACGAGAGAATTTTTTTCAAATTTTTAGGCTAATATCTTTAGCTAGATACGATTTGTAATCTTTTGACATAATCGGTCCAGTGACAGCCAAAGAAAATATAGTGACAGTCACAAAAAAGAAAATGAAATAAAAACATCATGGTAAAATTAATACCTTTTCAGCTTCGCAACGAAGTTAAACTTGGTTGTTATGACTAAATAAAAATATTCACTATACCAGTATAATAACTGCATGGGTTACTTTATCTATTAAATTTATAATTTGATCCAAAAGTAATTTTGTTAACTAATCATAAGAGGAAAGCTCTAATAAATTATTACCCTTTGCCGTAAGTAAAATTTTTTAGATTTAAAATAGTCGCAATGTAGTATATTATAAACAATTTATAATTTGTATTTTTTTTACACTAGCGTTTGCTAATATTATAAATATTTTTATGTAGTTAATTAAATTTTCTTTAGAAGGGTTTTTTTTTTTAGTTTAATTGTATTATTGTTTTTACTTTAATATTTTTGTTTAAAAAATTATATTTAATTGATTCATTATTAAGTGTATTTTATTTTTTATCTTGTACAGCATTAATAACTAAAAAAAATTATAACTCTGAAATCATTACCAGAATTTACATTAAACATCTTATGTTCAATTTGCGTAATATTTTGAAAACTAGTACATTTTAATTTAGCCAGTATACTAAGCATCACTAATATAAGAAAGTTATTATCAAATAAATTAAATCATCACTTTGGTAGTCACCATGTAGTAGGTATTTTATATTAGAAATTTGAAAAAATATTTTATTTTTATTTTTACATAAATACAAATTTTATAAAAAAAATTTTTAATTTGTTCTTTCTTATTTTAAAAACTATCAATTTGGGTATCTTAAATAGAAAAATATGACTAGATATTATATTTAATTTTTTTATATTTTAATATTGTGTTTTCATCAAATATAATTAACAACTAATAATTTATTGATTTTAATGTATTTATACATGTATATTAACCAGCCTATTTAATTGAAAATGGGTACCTAAGATATGCATGTTATGAGAGATGTTAGATTAACTCGGGTGAATACAATTTTTAGGATTAAATAGATGACTGCCAAAAAGTTTAAATATAATAAGTACAATGCTTTAATTCTGAATATATTTTTTTTAAGATTGAATTTTATACTAACAATTTTAAACCTATAATAATTTAAAATACAAAAATTAGTTTTTTCTGTAAAAACAAAACTTCTTCAACCATACATTTTCTGGTATTGTGGAGATATTTTCAAAAATGATTTGAATAGAAAGAGATGTTGAATTTGAATTCACTACTTAAAGTTTTTGACAAATCACTGTGTTATATTATCTTATATCAATTCATTTATATTAAGGTTGGGCTTGCAATATGGAATTTGAAAGCTATCAAATTGTATAATATCCTTAATATTTAAAGTTTCTGAACAATATTCCAAAGTAACTCTAATTAATTATTCAGATTATATTAAAACCTAAAACAATTTAAAATAGTTGTATTTAATTGTTATTGATTATCTTAAAACAAAACAATGTATTCTTTTTTTTTTGTAATAATGCATTCTTAAAAAACTCGGGAAAACTAGTCTTAAACATTAACCGTAATTTAATGTCTAGAAAGAGATACATAATGTTCAAAACTAAGTTAGAAATATTATTACAATAACTGATAAAAGCACTTTTGCTTTTTAAAATTCAAAACTGTTCATAAATGGTTAATGTTGAAAAAATAACCTTCAATTTTGAATAAACATTAATATTTGAGAAATGTTTTTATTTAATTAAATCATTTAATAATATACAACAAATTTTAAAGTTTTAACTATAATGTGATCTGANAATTTTAAAGTTTTATCTATAATGTGATCTGATTGTTATAAAAAAAAAAATGTCTTAATCAATTCAATGAAACTTAAGATGAAAGATGATTTATTTTTATCTATTAAATATTGTCTTTAACAGCGGTGAATCCAAAAATGTAAATATATTATTTGGCAATTAGATGTATCAATTTTCATATATGAAAATTTGACCTGCAGTTAAAAAAAAAATGATTATATCAAATAAATATAAATTTATTTAGTAGTTAAATCTACTTACCCGTTATATAACTTAAGTACAATTTTATGATCTAAATAAGGTTAAATTATTATTTATAATTGTTACAACGTAAAAATAAGAAATTTACTAAAATGTTACATTAAAACACTGTAACTACACGATAGTTGAACAACTTAATAATGGATAAAAATATTTAACTATATGGGATAGTAGTACCAACGTAGAATTAGCGTTAAACCCGATGTGGTTTAAAAGGTTGTGTTAAAACTTAACATAATATCAATCAACATTAGTAAAAATTATTTTTGTTGGTCATATCACTCGATAACATAATCGTATTGTAGAATTGTATCGAGTCTCTACACTACGGTGAAGAGAGGGTAGGAAATTAACTTATCA